TCCATCATTTATTCATCATGTGACCTCAGCATCCTACTGTAGAGTCAAAACCATCAGCTGTGTTAGCACACAAACTAGCAGAGATGACGTGTTTCCATCAGGTTTGAACTTCTTTTAAAGATGTCCTCTTTTTCTTAAAACATGAACTACACCCCAATAAAAAATTGACTAAAAAATCATAAAACCAAAAATTAAAATCATAAAACCAGGTTTCCAAAAAAGAAGAAACTTTGTAAATGTAGAGTTGACACGTGGCTTGTAGATGTGCATTACTGCCTGCATCAGGCTCACCAACTGCAGACTGATGATGTCTTCTAAACATCTGTGTTTCCGGTGTGTTTGACACATTGGAAACTGAAAGAAGCCTGAAATGTTTTCTTAAAGTAAACAAAGTAACACAATTAATCAATTATAAGCAGAAAAGAGTAACAGAGTTGGTCGGTCAGATTCAGTACTGATTTGGTGCACCAGAACCCGTCCGTCGGTCCATCTCCGAGTACCAGACAAATCTATGAGCCAGAGCAGTCAGCTGCCTCTGGCCTCCAAAGATCTGAGTTTGCGGCGTGTCAATTGGTTGTAGATGATTTGATTAACCGCAGATCTGAATTTGAATCACAGAAGATCAATATCAGCTGAGACAGGTACTTAATGTTCAGGAGAAGCAGAAGAAAGACTGCTGTTAGTTTAGTTTAATTCAGTGATAAATAAATGGTAAATGGCCTGTATTTGTATAGAGCTTCACTTAGTCCAATAACACACTTTGGTTCTCAGGTTGGTCGGACCGTGCTGGGTGTCAGCTGGTCCTCCTTTGCCAGAACACAGCTGAGCATGCCGCTGCTCACAGTTGGTGAGGTTCAGGGATTTATTTAATGAGTAGATGCCAGAATAGCTCCATGCTAACACTGGAGTTCAGTGTCAATTTTAGATTTCAGAAATGAAAACTACACGAAGCACACGCAGTCTCACTTTATTCACTGAAGCAGCCGCTGCTACATGATTATCGTCACAGCAGCGAGTGCATTCACATAAACTGGTCACTGATGCAAATCAGCAGCGGACGCAGACAATAACTCAGCCTGTTCACGGACAGCTGCGTCTTCTGATACACTCCCAGTGTGTGTGGTGGGAAACCGCTCCAGGCTGTAACAATTATCATATGAAAAATGTCCAGTTATATGTTTAAAAAATTCAAACGCAGAGACAGAAACTTTAGTTTAGAGTGCAGATCATCTTTACTGAGCTCTAAAAAGAAAACGATCCAGTTATTGCTACAGTATTAAACTGCGGGTCATACCAGCTGGGAATATGTCGACTTGTTATATAGACTTTATCTGAACGTTTCTTTTATATTGGGGATATTTTCATATTACTAACATAAAATAATCTTGTCCCAGAACCTGCAGTTCCTTAAACGGCCACTCGAGGCTCCAGCAGTGAGTCCGTCCCCATAGTTAAAACATCCAAATGTTCAGCTGGAATAAACATGTTTGCAGCCTGGTACAAAAACTGTTTCGGTCTCTATAGAAAATGTAAACTTTTAAAACAACTGTATGGAGTTTATTTTTTATATAACTCTTCTGTTTAAACTGTGTTACGACTTAAAGCTAAATGTAGCATATTTAGCTGCTTTGCTTAATGGAACTACATTTAAGGGGTGTCCAAATTCCTGGGCTGCATCCTCCACCAGCTGTCTCGGTCTTCATCTTGATAAACCGAGCAGATATTTGAAGTTTACACAGCTAAATATCTTGAAAGCTTATTTCGTGACCCATTGTTGGAAACTGAAATTTGCTATAAATGGGCCATGGGCTATGGTGGGCCAAGAAGGACACACCCGACCCATCCTTCAAATTTGGGGAAAAGGAGGACGCAATTGTCTGCTGCATTCGGAGGAGTCCACGAATTTGGACAGCCTTCAGCTC